CTGCTGTTCAACACACTTAGGTGCGTAGTAAAAAAACTTCAAATGGCGACTCACCTGGGACCTATGTTGGACGGGTGTGCTATGTTGAGCTGGACGACCACTGAAATGTCACTCTTCATGTATGGGAAAATTATCTGGACTAGAGAACGTGGTATGCTTAATACGTGATTGAACAGCCGCATCACAATGATTTTCAATTCACTGTGCTAAACCAATGCGTCAAATGCTGAGAATCCATATAGGAACAGTCTCTGTGGTTACATCCGGTCNGGAGACATCGGTGGTCGAATACAGAAAGTGGATTAGCATCCTCAACGCGGGGAGAGGCCAGATCTTGCAACCATAAAGCAAAACGCTAAGAACTGCGGCGATATACACCCTTCCCCCAAGGGATATTCGGATGTCATGGCGGTGCGACAGGTGTCGCAGGTTGGCGAAAGCTGCCCTGGCTTTCGCTATTCGTGATGTGATCTCCCCAACACCAACACCAGCTGCGATCAAGCTCTCGATATACTTAAAGCTCTCAACTACTTCCAGCTGACTAACACAGAAGATACGTGCAGGCACAGCGTCCTGTTAGTCTTCAACAAGCACTTTGATGGTGCAAAGTACATGCCACACATGAATACCTCGATCACCAAGCGTCGGTTAGGCCATCACGACGAGACTGCACCTTGGTGTGGTGTGATGGCTTGCGCGCCTCATGCGAGCTATACAGGATGGCTCCTCAGCCGCAAATCCAATCATGCCTGAAAAGTCAATGGGTAGAGGCCAGACGGAGATCAGTCTCACAAGACCAGTTGCTTGGACACTTCCTGGCTTCCCTTTTCTATCCATACTCGCCCTTGGAGAGGTCACTCCAGCAAATAAACACGGTGAGAAGCAGTTTACCGGTCAAAAAAACCCGCTAGATGGACGTAAAAGCGGGGTACCTGGGGCTTCCTCTCGACAGTGGGAGAAGTCTTCGCACTTCATTGGACAGCTACCGCCCGCCCAAGCTGGGNCCCTTTTCTATCCATACTCGCCCTTGGAGATGTCACTCCAGCAAATAAACACGGTGAGAGGCAGTTTACCGGTCAAAAAATCCCGCTAGATGGACGTAAAAGCGGGGTACCTGGGGCTTCTTCTCGACAGCTACCTCCCGCCCACACTGGGCAGCCCCCAGTCAATAAGGGGCTGTACCGTCCACGTTCCGCTTGTCTCATTTGGTGCATGAGGCTAAGGCCCGATCTCGAAAAGTGGACCGATAATCAACGCACCAGTGAACAACAAACTTAACCGAAGTTCAAAGGCCTTGCGTGACAGATCTCTAGAAACTCCCACACTGGTTCTTCGTTCATGCTTCCGCGTTGGATTTACACCCCACTGCCTTATGGGTCAGACTTTTGAGTCCAACGCTTCGATCAGGGTTTCCAAAGGAAAGTCCAAAAACTCCCTCTGGATTGCGAGTCAAAGTTTTGAGTCAAGTACTTTGGTTAGGGTTCCCAAAGAAGCCCCCTTCGTCGGTGTGGGCAACCGCGAAGTATGCATTGCCCAAAAGTCTTAGTGTTGACAGTCAAAGAATGCACGGATCAATGAGGGGATGAAATCAACATTACGCGGTCAAAGGGAAGACAATGGATAATATGGATAGTGGTGCTGGGTGTGTGCATGTGAAGAGCGTCAATATGGGCAGAATTTATTGTACACTTGGGTACTCATTTCGAAAACCATCCTCCACATCTGTCTAGGTCTTCGCAACCAGCGCATGTTATCAGCGCCGTAACAGATCTTTAACTCTTTTTCCTCTGACGTACCCCTGGTGGCAACAATTTCGCACCCTCAGATTTGCGCAGTATCTACACCTTTTTGAACGGGTTTTATTACATTATTCAAGTAGAAAGCGTCAATACAAAATCTGATTGAACGGAAAGTATGATGAAGAAAAAACCGAAAACGATATCGCTGTCAAAGTTTCGTAATCCCTTCTAGGCGTTAATCAAACTATCTACCTTTTCTGTTATAGTTGAGGCTCCGTGTGCAGTTTCATGTGAATTTCCTACGGAAGAAAAGAAAAGCAGCATAATCCGGCCGTCTTTCGCCCAGTTATCAAGATGGGGAGAGAGAGAGGGGGGGGGGAACGATGACTAATTAAATTCCACTACTGATTTAGTGCATAACATCTGGTCGCAAGAGCCCGTCATCCCGTCATTCTGGAGCAACTCACTGATGGTTCCAATAATTAACAAGGGATCTCGCAACGAATGCAAAAGCCACCACGGGATAAGTTTACATCCCGATCGTCAGCAAAGCATTAGCCTTCGTCATATTTCGACGTTGGACTCCCTTCAGGGAGACAGATATCCGCGAACAAAAGGAAGGTTTTTAATCACATCGCGGTTGTATCGACCAAATATGCTCGTTGCGTCAGGTCCTCGAGTTACGCCAAACACACCGTCGACCAACGATTGCAGTGTTTCTTGTTCGCCTCAGTTGACCACGAATCCCTTATGAGTTCGCAACGTTGCAAAAGAATGCCACCGAAGTAAGTGAACACACTGAGATCACTCTACTCGCATATTTCTGGTAGCGTAAGGGTCTACAGCGAACTGAGTAGGTCGTTTGTAATTAGCAATGGTGTTCTTCACGGATGCCCTCTTTCGCCATTCCTGTTCAATTTCTTCTTGGACGAAATACTGGTGAACACACTAAATGGTCTCCAAAATGTAGGTATTAAATGGGTATCTTGAGAAAATCTGTGCGATTTGGTGTACGCTGACGACATCGTCTGTCTTTTCGGGTGTATGGAATACGCGCAACGCGCCCTAGATGGATTAGGAAATTCTGTTGATCCGTTCGGCCTGCGCTCTGCATCTTCAAAGTGCAGAGTGATGCTACAAGACCGGGTGTCACCGAGTTCTGTTCTGAAAGTAGATGGTCAGGAATTTGCCGAACTTGACTACTTCTCATACTGAGATAACTGCGTGACCAATGACGGTAGCGCATCAAAGGAGCACCGCCCGCATTTCCAAGGCTCGAGCGGCATACGCAGGATTTAAACACCTATGGTGGCGACGTGACGTTTCACTGAAGTCGAACAGTCTCGTATATCGTGCCACTGTGCGGTCAGTTCTGCTTTACGGCTGTGGGACCTTGAATTCGTCGGTCGAAGAAATCCGTCACCTGGAGTTTTTGATAATTAATGCCCACGTAGTCTGGCCGAAGTGGTATGTAGTGATCGGACTAATAAACTAGAAGTAAGTCGTCTAGTGTTACGGAGTGCATCGAACTAGAATCGGGTATGGCTTTCGATTGACAAAAATGAGGCCCTAAACCCTGTCGAAGATATAGCCGAAATGTTGCCGAGATTCTGCAATTGGATATTTATTCTAAGTAGTACGAATTCGCTTTATCCGCAGCAAACTTCGGAAGGACAGAAAACAAGAAACTTCTGGCTCGGTGTGTGTAAATTTTGGTTAATGAAATGTCTAATCCACAGAGTCAGACGTATTTTTTTGTCCGGTTGTTCTAGATGGCGAACAGTGTTACGAGTCAACTGATCTCCAGAATAATCTTTTACTACGCTTGAAGGACAGCTCGAACCATAGTAGGAAAGAATCAGGTGCTCATCACGATTTTTTTTTAAACGGGGATAGATTGTTGACCCGGAAAATCCCGTTTTTCTCAATCCATGTTTAGGTCCTTTTTCATCGCACTTGTAAGATTCCCCCCAAAGACCAAACCAAGCAGCCTAAAACCCAGTCGCCTCATTGGGCATAATCTAGATCAGTTTACACGCGCCTGTAGTACCCATTGCATCGAAAACAACTAAGTCAGTGTTGAATGAACACTGTACACCTGCTCGTTGTAAGAAAACAATGGCCAATATAAACAGCTCCTCCATCTTATTACAACACATGTTCGATGGTGGACAAAGGATAGTTCACCTAGATGCGGCTTTCATAACATTGTTTTCAGCACCCTAAGGATGATATAAGCTCAGCTTGTTTGACTGCGATCAGTGAAGTTTACTTCACTGTATCTCGCGTTGTATGGTGATGTATGCTACTGACATCTGCGAAATCCACAACGATTAGGTTCACAAAGCCAAAACTGCTTCGGCAAAGGGAAAACCTCAGTTGTGACCATGATTTCCTCTGAAGGCTTCTCCTCTTCTTGACTCCTACATGTCCCCTTCTACTCTTACCTTCACATTGGCTCTACGCATTTTCGAGTCATACCCGTGTAGGCATGGCATACATTCTTCACACTATGGTTCTGCATTCCATTGCATCACAAACACACAAATACATACCACGAGTGGTTGTGTGTGATGAGGATGGGGTGGGATGAGTAGTTATTAAGAATGCGGTTTGTTCACATTGCGATCGAATTTCCATATCCTCGATAGAAATATTTTCTAATTGTTTGCATCAGTTCTTTTTGTTGCTCTGGCCTAATCTTGATCTTCTTACTGTACCCCCCTCCCCCCGCTCTATCGCGATCTCTCGCCATTTTAGGTTGCTCAAGAAATGCACGATGAGGCATTGCAGTGCTTTAAACGAGCTTTTCCCAACTGCCCCGTTCAGTTGAACGTTTTTCGCGAAGATGACCAACGTTGTTCCGGCAATATTGCCACGTTTTTGTGAGTTTGCCCAAACAATAGTTTTTAAACAACAATTAACCCGTTTCACTTTCTGTGATTGATGGTTTTGCCTCCACACATACCATTGTGAGAAAATTATTTTTCTTACAAGTTACCAACCAGCCATGCCAATTCAATCTGTCATTGAGACCTTTTTATTGCACACCTTAATTAGAGTGGTGTTTCGCGAATATCGGCTGAATGTTCGGTTATCGAAACCTTTCGAACTGAATAAGACTAATAGGAAAGGTTCACTGTTGTGCAGGACCAAATCGCAGTCGCCTACCACAAAGCTGATTGACGTTGACCGAAAGTCACTGCTGAATTCACAAACATTCAAAATGCGATGAAGCGGCGTGTGCTTCTGATCAGCCCAGATGAACAATGCACGCTTGAGAACCGAACAGATCTCAGACCTGATCGAAGTGACATTGACCAGATTTTACCCTTTGCTAAATCGTGGAAAACATACATTGCTTTTGTGTACCTTCTTGATCTAAAAGCGGCCATCAACTGTAAACACCGGGGCTACTCCAACTGATAACCGAAGCTGGCTGGGTTCAAGGGTACCACTGACAAGATTATCCTCTCTCCTCTCCTATTCGACGTTGTAATGAATATGACTTTGAAAGCAGCTCTTGCTACGTGGTGCAGATGTTTGATCGTTATAGGGTAAAGACGATCAGTGTTCGAACTGTGCTGCACTGCGGGTGTCTGATGGGTTAACTGGACGAGCAATGCGGAGGCTAGGTGTAGAGTTCTGAGCAATCGCAATCATCCACTGGAACAAGTGTCTGACCTTCATAGAGTCATGGGTTACACGTGTCGTCTGATTGACTTCCTCGACTTGCAATGGTTTCCGAAGCAGGAAGTAGATGGAGAAGACTCGGTCAGATAGGTCGCGTTAACCTTTCTGCATGGAACCAACGGGTCATTGTAACCGATGCTTGGAAGCACCGAGCGATACGACTAAACGTCGATAATAGTGACGCTCGTATCTCCACTCGGTGAACTTGCATCCTTATTCTATCTGATACGTCTCTACGATCACGTTCACATTGATTTCAACAATCCAATTTCTCCTCCTTCCATCTGATGGGTATCCAAAAGATAGCAACTAAAACCGCCACACCGAATTTGTTCATGATTGAATGAAGGGAGAAAACAGTGCTACTGTGCTACATCCTGTACCCTTGTCACACCTATTATATTTTATCCGGCATTGATAGGCTTCCTGAGCCATAGTTACGTAAGCCTTCTCGTGCAGTGTTGATGCGAAACAAACGTGCTATACCATTTTAAATTCGATTTGAGAAACTACAATTTTCCTTAGCAAAACTGTCATTTTGAATAGAGAAAGAATCGCTGTGGTTGGATCCGCTTCCTTTCAGCACACCTCATCGATCACACATCTTCTCTACCCCCGGATTGACCACCTGTCTTCCCACGACACTCTTTCTGTGTTGAAATGAGGCAGACTTCAGTCGTGCATCTTATCGAGCTTTGTGACGGACGTCAAATCGGTGGGTCGGTGAAACCGTGCTATTTGCGTGTGACAACCAAGCCGGACGCCACTCGATAAGCGTGAAGGATGACTCACTGTTTCGTGCCCACTACAGCTAAAGTATATTTGAACAGGCAAGTTAGAAAACTGCGAACAAGCAATTTCTAGAAACAACAGTCGTGTACGCTCAGCTGCGATTTTGCAGCGTAATTTCAACAGGCGATCCAGCGCCTTGACAGGTTCTGGTGAGAATATTCTTTTCAAAAAACTGAAACATTTGGATCCCGTAATGACAAACAGTGTTTGTCTATGTATGTTGTTTTGATTGTTGGTTCCAGTGTAACCAGCAACCAAAACTCGCGCACAATAGTGCATGGTTAGTGTTTGTATAAACTAAACTGAACTGGTCCCAGTGCAGACAACCTGCATCCGAATTGGTGGATTCCATATGCTAATCTGTAAGTTGGTTCGGTAACCCAAGTTGGAGATATCATTACCGTCTATGTTGTCTGGTTGCTCAGTCAATACAGCAGAGGTGTTGCAGAAGTGATGTTAACTATGATGTCGAAGCGAGCAAATAACATCAAAAAAATAATAACTGCTAATTTTTTTTTAGAGGTCCTTCTACGTTGTACTATCAAAATTATCCTGAATAACACCACAAATTTGATTAGTATCGTCACGAGAAATAATATACATCAACTTGAACTAATCAATTAACCAAATGGATAAGTCAATTCCTCAGTTTTCCCCCTAGTATTGTAAATCAAGAGTGATGGAAGTATGGGCAGTTTTAAGTCAACCGTAACGATTCTGACACAAAATGCGATTCTGTTCACTTTTTATCTTGTCTGTCGGTTTAGGTTCATTGTGCACATGTCCAATGATTGTCGATTGGCAGTTTCCGCCATCAGCAATCCACGTGGTCCGCATCATCGTCAACTCGTTTCGGAGGCCGTGAATACACTATCCGGGCTTGTTCGTGTTGGAGCGTGTTGTGATGATAACATGCAAGATCAGGTTAGTGACTAACTGACTACGTGTGTGATGCCCATTTTGCCTGTTACTTTTGCCTGCCAGGACCCTAATTTCATTTACCTGGCATCAAACAGAATATACTTCCTGTCAAGATATTGCTTGAATCACTGTCCAGTGCACCCACGCACGTGCGTGCACGTAGACAGACAGGCAGACAGACACGCAAATGGACGAACAGATAGATTGGGGGATTGGTTGTAGCTGATGAAATCACTTCTAATGCTAACGATTATGGCCATCAGAATACATGGCATTGACTTTGTCCTTTTTTTTAAATTTTTTCTACTCACCACACTTGAGGCTTCATTTTCACGCACAACCTTCAGTTCATTCCGTGAGCCCAACGCCCGGGAAGCATGGGACTATAGTTTCGCTTTCATCCGTGGCGCATATTCCCCACCCTATCCGGGCTTTTTGAATTCCGGACCCGTCACATGTGTGTGTGTGTGCGTGTGTGTGTGTTACTACTGTGCCAATCAGCTCCAACCGGGAAACCATGTTTGTTCCCCAATGCTCCCGAGATGGCCAGTCATTTCTTTTTTTGGTTCGATAGCAACGAGACAACACCCAGTTGACTATCTTTAATCGAGAGTCTCGTAGCAAATCCGGGCTGTACAAATTAAATCGCCTAGGCTACAATTTGAGTTTCTCATGTTATTTTCACTCATCATTATTATGACCAAGCGACACAAATAGTCTCACTGTCTTCCCGTGGCGGAGGTGTTTTCCCCACCAAAGTGAGAGGACGAAAAGCCGAAATCTGGGGCTATATCCAGGTCGGTGAACCACTGAGACAGTTCACCTAGGGGAGATGGCTAAAAACCTTGATTCCAAACCAACCAAGAAGAGGTGCACGAACCACCCACACCTTTCTGGTCGTGACACGGTCACCGGTTCGATTGGGCATCGGGGTGTATTGGGCACCTTAGACGTTTGACCTCGTCCGAAGGGCGTATGATCCGATAAACCGGATACCGACCCCTAATGGATTGCGGACTCTGAGTGCCGTCCTGTAGTCTTGCAGGTCAGGCTTTCTAGTCAAAGGATTCGGGTGGGGACCCCGAAGTTATCCCCCTTCGTGGGCCAAGGCAACCGGGAAGTAACATGCCCACATAACTTATGAAACACATCATACATTTCCGAATTTTTGGCTCTGACTATGCGCTCTTTGGCCGAAGTGTTGGCGGTTGGCCCCACAGATTTCCACGTTACCTCACCAACAGATCACACTCTTTCCCTTCCTCAATTATTGAACTTTCNCCAACAGTGTGTTGCTCAAGACCACGGCAGAAACCATAGTTTTGTTCCCATGCGAAAGAAACAAGCGTCCGATCAGGTTATTACGAAAACAGTACGCTTGCCCCGGTCGCAGATGAAGTAAGGGACTTTCAACGTTCGAACACTGATGCAAGTTGGGGCTCAGGCAACACTCACTCGCACACTGGAAGCGCTTTCCATGGACGTTTGATGCCTTACTGAGACACGGCGACAGGATTCGAGCACCGTACTGCCTTTTGGCCCCTCCACGTAGAAGACGTACGGAGATTAAGTGTCTTTGACCACCGTTGCCTTCGTTGCATCGCCAGAATACGTTGGC